CAAACTGATTTTACCTAAATGTCGTTCGGCTAAAGTTAGTAATTCGTTTTATGGCAATTGCGTAAGGTTTTACAATAAAATACCAGAGTCTGTTATAAATCTGCCAGAAAAGAGATCTAAATGTCAAATAAAACAGTTCCTTTGCAAAAAAGCTTACTGTACATAGCACTGACAATTATCTGATTACACTAATAATGAGTGCGTAGCGATTTCTATGTTGATTATCGCATGCCTTTTACTGTAATTATTTATATATAAAAAAATCTATTAAAAAGAGCAACACACAAGTTTCTTGCTCATTCTTCTTGTGATGAATCTGCATTCCGAATGAGTGGTAGAATCTAAATATGACTATTCAAAAGTGCTTGTAATGAGTTTATTTGAATGAAGATTATTTCTATTTCTATTAACACCGAATGTTAAAAAAAATGGCGGAATAGGCCGAATAGCGAATAGTAGCCGAATATTCGTGACATCTCTCTACTTGTCATATGCAGAATCTTTTTCTATATGTAAACAACTACTTGTGCAAATTTTGAAAATTAGTTTCTTAGTTATTAAGTAAGGAATGCTAATAAGTGCGTAGCGGTTTCTATGTTGATTTTCGCATGCCTAATCCTTGTTGTTTATTAAATATAAGTAAATCAATATTTATTTAAAAGAGCAACACACAAGTTTCTTACTTATTCTTCTTGTGATGAATCTGCATTCCGAATAAGCGGTAGAATAAAAAAACTTGACTATTCAAAAGTGCTTATTTTAAGTTTATTTGAATAAAGATTATTTCTATTTATATTTCTAATATAAGAATTTCCTTTCTTATAATTGTGATAAATATATTTCTAAACATTTCTGTATGTACAGACATTTCAATCCTTGCCAATTTATCTATACATCTATACATATAAATGAAATTGGAGTGTCTGTTTGTAATATTGAAATAACCATATTTACTACATGTATATGAAAATAAATACGGTACCTACACCAAAATAACATTTTTTACAGTTTTAGTCCGTCTGTTTGTTCCGGCTAATCTCTTATATGCTTGGACCAATTTTGACGGGACTTTTTTTGGCAGGTAGCTGATTTAATAAGGAGTAACTTAAGTGACTTTTATTTTCGAAAAATAAAGTTAAATTCCAAGCGGACGAAGTAGCGGGAACAGCTAGTTAATAATAATAATATGCTAGGACAATTCACACAACGCCATCTAGTTCCAATCTACGCAGAGCTTACTAGCTACTAGACAACTGATACAAATACACGAATGAATTTTTTTTTTAATAAATACATATTATACATAGAAAACACCCAAACTGATACAAACAATCATACTCATGAATACAAATATTTGTACCTCGAGGAATCGAACCCGCGACCATCTGATAGTAAAGCGGTATGCTAAACAACTAGACCACTGAGGCTGTCCTTATAGTATAGGATGGTGATAAGAAAAACACATCAGCATGTAAAATCACAACACACCTAACTCACGCTGTGGAAAGGGATTGTTAGTAATGTGGACTCTCGACCCCATTGCTAGCAATGTACCATATCAGGTTGACCTCCACGCGGTTCCCCCTGGAAATCGTGATAAATTCATCTGGAATTTATCACGATGGTTTCCAGGGGGCTAACTGACCTGACCTCATTCTCATCTTATCATCTTCCACAGGTGCCCCGCCATCGTAAACCGTTAGCGCAGGCGGGTGCACCATTTCATTATCATATACAAAAAAAACTCACGCTGTGTGAGTTGAACTGAAGAGAACTTGATAAGTTAATAGTGATAGAGGGTCTTGAGGTCATATAATAATGTATATGTTTATACAACAATGTTCTTAAATAAACAATAGATAACAATACATTTTATAACCAACATGTTCGCAAAATGCATCTCTTAATTGTTACCAACGCACAATTCCAAGGTTGTTTTATTGTCATACTAGCTATGCCCGTGACTTCGTTCACAAGGAATAGAGGACGGATGAGGAATCTCCATTTCATCCCCTATTTTATTTTACCCCCTTAAGAGTAAAATTTTGAATGTCACATTGAGAGTCATAAGCTTAAAAAATAAGTTTCAACCTTCTACTTCAACTCTTTTCGTTTCATCTCCCTTTCAACCCCTTACAACCCTTTTTTTGCATTAAAAAGTAGCCTATTTGTGCATTAAAATAGCCTATGTCTTTTCTCAGGGTTTCGACTATCTGTATACCAAATTTTATTTAAATCGATGCAGTAGTTTTAGCGGGAAAGCGAGATAGGCAGACAGACAGACAGAATTGCTTTCGCATTTATATTAATAAGGATTTATGACTAACTGTACTCGCAACGAATTGCGTGAATATTAACTTTATTTTTCTAAAATTAAAGAGTTTTTCTAAAATAAAAGTATATAATGTTAATTATATTTTATCGCTTCATTCTCGATATAATAAACAATGTAGTCCTTTTAGCCTACAAGGCAACTTCGCACGTAATTAGTAAGTCAATTGACTTAAATTTTATTTCCCCCGATGTTACCTGTGGGTATGCACTACAACTTTCTTCATTCTTTTTCCGTGCGAGGCAACGAACGCACGCAGACCTCTCAGTTATTAAAATTAAATTAATTGATAATGTCTAAACGTAGTGCTGAGGAGAAAATAAAATATTATAATGCTAAAATAAAGAAATTAGAAGACAAGTCGAAGAAACGTCGCCGAGTAATCGTTTATTCATCTTCGGATTCTGAACATGATTCAGGTATGTACTTTTGTTAAGATAACAACTATTTTATTGGGCCTGTCTGTAAATGGTAAAATCTTATAATTTATAAATTAACCTGGGGGTTAACCGTGAGTTAACACGAAGGTAATTCATTGCTTGGAGGTTAACCGAGAGTTAATACGAAAGCAATTTAATGCTTGGAGGTTGACCAAGAGTCAACACGATAGTCAATAATTTTCACTTCACTAAGTTTTAACCAATCGTAAAACCTACCCGTTAAAAATAAAAATAAAAATATTTTTACAGACAAAAATTTATTAACATCTACCGACAATATCATATTAGATGAACATTGTGATGCTGGGATAGAACCTGAAGAAACGTTAACGGTTTCCCAAAATGTACCTCAATCCAGTGAAAAATTGTCAGAATTAGATCCTGAATTATTATCTGCTCTAGGAGAGCCAGGTGAAGATGTTCCTGTCTATGGCGAAAATATACATCCCGATTTAACACAAAGATGGCTTCCTATTTTACGGAAAGGATTAACAAAAGAAAGTAAGGATAAACTGATTAAAGATTACGTAGTACCGGGTAATTGTAAACAATTACGAGCCCCTACTTTAAATCCTGAAATTACTGCTGCTATCAGCGATCCAGCAAGAGCTAGGGATAAAAGAATCGAATCGGGACAGCGACAATTAGGACTTGGTATAACAGCCATTAGTAAAGCAATGGGAATTCTCCTAAGTAGTGAAGACAAACAAAATAAAATACAATCCATAAAAATTTTATCAGATGCTTGCCGCATTCTAACTGATTTGCATCAATCTAAAACGCAGTGTAGAATTAAAGCGATAACTCCCGGACTAGACAAATCATTCCTTGGCGTTGTCCAGGAAGTGGAGAGCGATGAATTTCTCTTCGGTATAAATCTAGCTGACAGAATTAAGGCGTCTAAGACTATTGAAAAACAAGGAATGCAAATTAAAAAGACAATGTCTACCTACAAAAACCACACTGCTTCTACATCCCAATATCAAACGTCGACACGGTCACGTTTTCAGGGAAACTGGACGGGCCCTCCTCGCTTCCAGCAGTCGAGCAGGGGGGGGCGAGGAACAGCACACAGAACGAACTCTGCAGCACGCCGTACGACATCGAACCACAACCTGTCGAGGCCGACGAGTTACAAACAACGTGCCCCAACGCGTCAATAACTCAGGTACATGCTGGTAGATTATATTATCGTTATTTTTGTTGGACTAAAATTACTAGTAATCCAGTAGTATTGAATTGGATTAAATTTGGTTTTCCCATTCCATTGGAAGAACAAGTAATACAGTACCATGTACCCGAAAATAATTTGTCGCCTTCAGACTTTTGTAATATGAGAAAAATAATTCAAAATCTACTCGATTTAGGTGCGATATCAAAATGTTTACCTGAAAGGGATCAATTTATTTCAAAAATTTTTCTTGTATCAAAGCCCAATGGGGAATATAGATTTATACTAAATCTCAAATCCTTCAATAAATTTGTTCAAAACTTGCATTTTAAAATGGAGGATTTTCGCACAGCTTCTAAATTAATACCAGAAGGTGGTTACATGGCCACTATAGATTTAAAGGAAGCATATTTAACTGTTCCAATTTTACCCTCAGATCGCAAATACTTAAGATTCCATTTTAAAAATGACGACGCAATAAATATTACGTATGAATTCAATGCTATGCCATATGGATTATCCGTGGCGCCTAGGACGTTTACAAAATTAATGAAAGAGGTTGTTGTTTTTGAGGAAAAAAGGATTCACATCTATTATATACTTAGATGATATGTTATGTATAGGAAAAACCTATGAAGAGTGCCTAACAAATGTTAAAGAATCATTAAATTTATTAGAATGTTTAGGGTTTGTAGTTAATTACAACAAAAGTTGTCTCCAACCACGACAGCAGTGTAAATTTTTGGGATTTATATATGACTCTATAAATATGACACTTTCACTGACAGATGAAAAACGGCATAAAATAATAAACTTAGTACAGAAGTATTCTTTGTTACCTAGACGCCCTCTTAGAGATTACGCTCACCTAATAGGCGTCCTTATATCAGCATGCCCAGCAGTCCGATATGGCTGGCTCTATACTAAGCTTTTAGAACGTGAAAAATTTACAAATCTTAAAAAGTATATTTCATATAATACTAAAGTAAAATTTTCAAACAATGTTTTACCAGATTTAAGATGGTGGTTGCAATCCACACTAACTGCTAACTCTCCAATGAAATCCTTAAATTTTGATATCGAAATCTTTACCGATGCTTCTCGTAGTGGTTGGGGCGCTTACGCGAACAATATTCGAGCCAATGGGAAATGGAAGTTACGTGAACAAAACTTCCATATTAATTACTTGGAGTTACTTGCAGCATTTTTCGGAGTAAAATGCTTTGCCAATGACAAGTCTAATTGTACCATATTATTACGCATTGACAATACCACAGCAATTAGTTACATAAATCGCATGGGAGGAATTCAGTATCCTCATTTAAATAGTCTCACAAAAACAATTTGGCAATGGTGCGAAGGAAAGAAGATTTGGCTACATGCATCTTATATTAACACAAAAGATAATGTCGAAGCAGATCAAGAATCTCGTAGAATCAATCCAGACACTGAATGGGAACTCACTCTATCAGGCTTTCAAAAAGTTACACGTAAGTTAGGTAAACCGGATATTGATCTCTTCGCCACTCGCACCAATGCCAAATGTGAGCTATATGTCTCATGGAAACGCGACCCCGAAGCATTCGCTATAGATTCATTTACTCTCAATTGGAATGTTTGGTTTATATATATATTTCCACCCATGTCAATAATTTTAAGATGTTTGCAAAAAATAATTAATGATAATGCAGAAGGTATATTTGTTTTTCCACTTTGGCCAGCGCAACCTTGGTTCCCACTTTTACAAAATCTTATTGTTTCCGATATTGTATATCTTTATCCAAATATTGATTATATTTTACCCTATTCCAGGACCCTACGTCATCCTATCCTGGCAGCAGCAACGCTCTCAGGGTCGCGTTCACGAAAAGAGGATCACCAGCATTAGCGTTAAACTTAATATTGGCATCTGTTTCTAGAAATACTTTGCGTCAATACGAAATTACATATAAATTGTGGTGGAAGTTTTGTGAAATGAATAATTTTGAACCCTATTGTACGTCTGTAACAACAGTTTTACTGTTCCTAACTGAACAATTTAATAAAAATGCATCATATGGATCGCTAAATAGTCATAGGTCGGCGTTATCACTTCTTTTAGGTGATAATATTGGTTCTCAAGAATCTATAAAGCGGCTCCTTAAAGGAGCATATAAATTACGACCTACAGTTCCCAAATACTGTCACACGTGGGATCCACAAATAGTTTTAAATTTTATAACAGACTGGTTTCCTAATAATACTCTTAGCATAGAAAAATTAACTAAAAAGTTAGTAATATTGTTAGCCCTATGTACAGCTCACAGAGTACAAACCTTTTCTTTGATTAAAATAGATAACATCAAAATAAGTCAAGAAGGTGTCAAAATTATAATTTCTGAAAACATAAAAACATCAGCAGCAGGACGTGAGCAACCCGTTCTTTATTTACCATATTTTATAGAAAATATCAATATATGTCCCGCTACAACGTTGGTAGATTATTTGACTATGACAAAAAATCTAAGAAGTGAGGGATGTCATAACCTGCTTCTGACATTTAGAGTTCCACATAGACCAGCAACATCACAAACCATCAGCCGCTGGATCAAACAGATCCTGGCTAGTAGCGGAATAGACGTGTCAACATTTAACGCACACAGCACGCGACACGCGTCCACATCCGCCGCTAAGGCTGCAGGTGTCTCTGTGGAGACTATCCGAAAGACAGCAGGCTGGTCTAGGTCGTCAACGACATTTTCAAAGTTTTATCATCGCCAGGTAATCGACGAAGAAAACTTTGCAAAGTCTGTTTGTATTAGAACAAATAAAAATTAATTATATTAATTTTGTTAGTGGATACAAAGTACATAATGTATAGGAATTTAAAATTAGGTCTGATTTGTAAAATCGAGATGATTGTTAAGTTTGTGTATTTTCAATAAAGAAAATAAATAACTGATTCATACTTATACTGACATTGTTTATTTTTAAGTTCAAATGGAACAATAATACCAAAACTTACATCTCTGAATATCTACATTGTTTATTATATCGAGAATGAAGCGATAAAATATAATACATGATCAAACGAACTTCACAAGTGAAATTCGATCAGTATTATATGAATACGCTTCATTCGAAGATATAATGTCCCTCCTCACCCTTGAAATCCCATATATAAAATATGAAAGTTTTGGTAGAATCTCTTAAAAGAATGAAGAAAGTTGTAATGCATACCCACAGGTAACATCGGGGGAAATAAAATTTAAGTCAATTGACTTACTAATTACGTGCGAAGTTGCCTTGTAGGCTAAAAGGACTACATTGTTTATTATATCGAGAATGAAGCGTATTCATATAATACTGATCGAATTTCACTTGTGAAGTTCGTTTGATCATGTATATTAATCTATATAAATAAATAAAATATATAATCTATATATATGTAATATATATTTTATTTATTTATATAGATTCATATTAACATATATATATATATATATATATATATATATATATATATATATTTGTATTTACATATTTACTACACTACAATTTTTTGTATATTTCTATTATCTGTAGTCTGCATACTAGGTCAGATCTGTATCTTGGAGGCTGGGAGCGCGGATACCAAACATATGCAGTACACAACACTTCAATTGACTATTTTATAATTAGAGTACTATATACCTAATTCAAATACAAGAATGAGCGGTTCAAAGATATTACTACTATATTATAACTGTTGGTTGAATATATACAAATTCCAGTTTGTATTCACACACTTAAACTTAAAAATGTAAAGTAATAATAAAATTATTTAAAAGAGCAACACGCAAGCTTCTTCCTCGTTCTTCTTGTGATGAGACAGCTTTCCGAACGAGCGGTAGATTAAAAAAATGTGATGACTATTCAAAAGTGCTTCAATGTAAGTTTATTTGAATATATGATTTTCTATTCTATTCTATTCTATACTAGCTGTACCCGCGACTTTGTCCGCGTAAAAGCCAAATGAAAAAGTTTTATCGTTTTAGCTTCAAAAATGACGACACTTCCATACAATCTTTCATAACTCTTTCAACCCCTTATGATTTATAAGAGATTTATTTCTAGTTATTTCTTAATATATATTTAAAAATAGGCTAAAAATTAAACTTCAAGCTTCTAGCTTTAAAAATGACAATATCTTTTATGTATATAAAATTCTCGTGTCACAGTTTTCGTTCCCATACTCCTCCGAAACGGCTTGATCAATTCTCATGAAATTTTGTGAGCGTATGGAGTAGGTCTGAGAATCGGCCAATATCTATTTTTCATCCCCCTAAATGTTAGGGGTAGTCCACCCCTAATTTTTTTTTTTGAAGGCTAAACAACGTTTGCCGGGACAACTAGTACCCATATTAACATTTAACTTTTCTTTAAATTCATATTTATTTATATTTAATTAGCAGCCTAAAAAAGTTTCAAGCTTTATACATACATATTATACATAGAAAAATTCCAGACCGATACAATCATACTCATTAATACAAATGTTTGTACCGTGCGAGGAATCGAACCCGCCATTATCGGATAGTAAAGCGGTATGCTAAACCACTAGACCACCGAGGCTATATATATAGTAAGCACTTTTACAGGCTTTTTTCAGGCAGATTTAGAACAGGCTTTAATAATAATTTCAGATCATTAGTTCTTGTACTTAGTTTTAATTAAATGAACATACACACTCTGTTATTACTTCAATAACTGTATATAAACTGAAGATCAATATGGGACACAGTAACCTAGATACATCAATATAATAATTGCATTTAATAATGTCTAGTAAGACAAATTCAATATTGTGTACTAAGCACTGCCGTGTCTAAACTGTGTCACCCCACCTTACATTTTCCTATTGTTATTTAGTATATATAAAAAAATCTCGTGTCACAGTTTTCGTTCCCATACTCCTCCGAAATGGCTTGACCGATTCTCATAAAATTTTGTGAGCGTATTGAGTAGGTCTGAGAATCGGCCAACATCTATTTTTCATCCCCCTAAATGTTAGGGGTAGTCCACCCCTAAATTTTTTATTTTTACTTTAAGGCAAAACAACGTTTTCCGGGACAGCTAGTTTAGTATATAAGATCAGTATTTCTATGTACATATTGTGAGTTTATTATCATCTGTAATATAGTAATACTCACCCGCAACAATCAACAATGATCCAATAGTTACTTGTCAGCACTATACCTTGCCGACTCAGACCCGGCAGTATTCCCCGTAGGCGGCCCGTGATGGGTTCAAATCTATATGTTAAGTCATGAATTATTAATACTGAGTAGTGATGCGACTCCACTTAAATTTCCCAATTCAACATTTCCATTTATTTCTACCGGTTAGTTTTTTTTTTATATACGGAACTCGCCTCGGCTTAGCACGTTTGAAATTATTGGAGAGATCAATTTTTTATTGCATCGCCGTTGTTTATTTATTTAAATTTTAAACCGCAAGTCTATACATGTATAAATATAAATAAAATTGGAGTGTCTGTTTGTAATATTGAAATAACCGTTATTTATTACATGTAAGTATATGAAAATAAATACATACATAAACCAAAATAACATTTTTTACAATTGTTGTCTATCTATCTGTGTGTTTGTTCCGGCTAGTCTCTGTAATGGCTGAACCGATTTAGACGGGACTTGTTTTGGCAGGTAGTTGATGTGATAACGAGCAACTGAGACTACTATAGAAAAAAACGGTGCATACACCAAAATACCATTTTTTACAATTTTTGTCTATCTGTGTGTTTGTTCCGGCTAGTCTCTGTAATGGCAGGACCGATTTAGACGGGACTTGTTTTGGCAGGTAGTTGATGTAATAAGGAATAAATGAGACTACTATAGAAAAAAACCGTGAATACACCAAAATACCATTTTTAAAAATTTTTGTCTATCTGTGTGTTTGTTCCGGCTAGTCTCTGTAATGGCTGGACCGATTTAGACTGGACTTGTTTTGGCAGATAGTTGATGTGATAAGGAGTAACTGAGACTACTTTAGAAAAAAACGTTTATTTTATAAAAATATACTTAAAATAATGGAGTTGGAGGCTGGGGTCAACGGAGTGTCGGGCACCCTCCTGCAAGATGGGCCGATGACATTATAAAGGTGGCCGGGCGTGGATGGATGTGGAAGACGGAAGAGCACACATGGTGGAAGTCTTTGGGAAAGGCCTATGTCCAACAGTGGACCGACACAGGCTGATGGCATATGCATATACTTAATTTCCACGCGGACGAAATCGCGGATATATCATCATCATCATCGCAGCCCAGAAGACGTCCACTGCTGGACATAGGCCTCCCCCAAAAATCTCCACGACGATCGGTCCTGCGCTGCTCGCATCCAATGCGATCTTGACCAGATCGTCGGTCCACCTTGCTGGAGGCCTTCCCACGCTGCGTCTTCCGGTCCGTGGTCGCCACTCGAGGACTTTACTGCCCCAACGGCCATCTGTCCTACGAGCTATATACCCCGCCCATTGCCACTTCAGAGTCGCAATTCTTCGGGCTATGTCGGTCACTCTGGTTCTTCTGCGGATCTCCTCATTTCTGATTCGATCACGCAGAGTAATTCCGAGCAATATATATAATATGTATATATATATGAATTTACGAAAAAAATATATCCATGTATTTATATCAGTTGTCTAATACCCATAACACAAGCTCTGCTACCGTGGGACTAGATGGCGCTGTGTGAATTATCCTGAGATGTATTTCTAGACAAGTACCTATACTCGTCTGTAACTCGATAAGTAAACCAGCTTCCCATCACTACCGTGAGGCACCCATTAATGCGGCCCCATGTAAGTATGCGTTTGTTTTGTATCGCTTTAGAAAGATTGTTTTTGGGTGGAAATATTATATACTGCGTACCGTGCCCCGAACAGGCGGCGGGTATTGGCCAATATTGTGGAATCCAAGACCGTTAAACGTGAATGTCGAATGACAGGCCCAATTTCATTTACCCTACGTTTAACAAACAATATTAGTGTCCCATTGGGTTCATAAATGAAAATATACGTGTTTCAAAAAATATGTTACTGATATTTTTCTATGTTACATACTAGCTGTGCCTGCGATTTCGTCAGCGTGATATCGTGACCTTGAAAACAGCTAAAGAAAACAGTTACATCATCCTAGCTTCATAAATTACGATTTTCCATACAAACTGCCATCCCCTATTTTATTTTACCCCCTTAGGGATAATATCTTCATAAACTGTGAATGTCATATGTATTTACTTTTATATTTATAGAAATAGAAATAATCATTATTCAAATAAACTCATTACACGCACTTTTGAATAGTCATATTTTAATTCTACCACTCATTCGGAATGCAGATCAATCACAATTTAATCAACAGCCTCAAAAATAACTTTGAATCTTCTAGATATAAAAATGTTCTTCCATACAATTTTTCTCCACCCTTACTCCTTACAACCCTTCATCAAAATCGTCAATTTTAAACCGATCGGGCTGAGATTTTGCATGCATAAAGCTACTACCCATAGAAAGAATTTTAATAAATTGCACCCTTAAGGGGTCAATTTAACGCGAGCGAAGCCGCGGCAAAAAGATAGTAATACATATAATGTATTTTTTTCACGATAAAATCTAGTGCTTAAGTATCAATGCAAAATACCTAAATAACGAATCCTTATTTCTACAATTTAACGCGAGCGAAGCCACGGGCAAAAGATAGTAATACATATAATGTATTTTT